ACAAACGGCAGTAATTTTCTTTTAATCTACCAGTTGCGGTTGCTTCCAGGTGAGCGGATTCTCTGCAGCTTTCTCGCCTCCGCTCTATTGCTATGACTTGTAAGGATTGTAGCGCGTTCTCAGTGTTTTGCTGGTCTGCGGGATTTCATGCGCAAGGTAAGCTGTCTGCGAAGCACTCGCCCAAGCGGAAAAATGTGCTGTTGCTGTCAGATCTCGATTGCCAAAAATCAACAATGGGTACGTTTACATGCACATTTTTGGTTCAATTGGACTGAATTCATTCCGATTGATGAATCTGAATGTAGTGTTTACATGAACGCTAAATAAAGTGATCGGGTTGATGTGCGTCACAAGCTTCAAATCGGAATAGATTTTTTTTTTTACATGCGCAGACTGCACAAATATAGAGTTTCTCACTGTTTGCACATAATAATCACTCTCCTACACGGTTTATTTGTTTTTAACAGCAGAATTAATATTTATCCATTTATGGATAAATATACATATAAACCGCTGTGCCGTGCTGCTCATATTTATCACGCAAATAAAAAATGCCCCTCCCCGCGCCCAAAACGGGTTGCCTGTGGATGAGAATCCAAAACAAGGACTGGTGGGAGGTTGTCCTGCTCCACTTCACAGTTGCCAAGTGAAAGGAGAGTTTTATAATGACAGGACACGCATTTATACGACACCTTATTCAAAAGGAAGAGCCGCTCGTTCCGTGCGTCATACGTCATTACGCTATTTCTGCGTCTCTGCACATGCGCAGTCCTTTCAGTTTCGGGGTTCACTCTCAATCGTATTAGAAAAGGAATAAACCACCCCCTTCAATCCGATCGAATAAGGTGTTTACATGAAGGCTTTTCAGTCCGATTACAAACGGATTATTTGGTTGCATGTAAACATAGCGTAATTTATTTTTATTAGAAATGGAATCTTTGAAAGAGTTTCTAATGTAAATTAATAACATAAAGAATGATATAGCCTACTGTTAGATTTCATGGAGGAATTTTTTTCTTGTATAGTTCCCCCACTGTAGTCCTTGATTTTATCCTAAGGAAGAAGTAAGGTAATTTGCACTATTGCTTAATTGTTTATATGTATGTTTATTTATGTTTATTAATTTATTATTACGTTTTTTATTTTAGTTATTTTTCTTTCTCTCTTCTCTTAAATGCTGTCTTACAGATTAAGATTGTTCTTCTTTCTTGTGTATGTGACCTTAATTGTTCAAATTTATTGTAATGTTCAATCATTTCTTCAATAAAAAAAGTGTTCTTTTTCTTATTGGTAAATAAGGTTAAAGAGATTTATTTTAAGCTTATTCATCAGTACTATCCTGTTAAAACCTTTATTGTGTCAAAATTTCAAATTAAGTATTTTTTTGGCATTGTGTTCATACAAGAAAACTTTGGCAAGACATTTGCCAGTTCATTGTAAACTTCATACATAATGACTTTGATCTTTACTTTAACGATGTTTTGTTTGGATTTTTCACTTTTGAGAAGCAATATGAAAATGTTTACTTTCTTTGCAACCTCATTATTTTGCTTTTTGATTAAGATTTGCTTAAGATTAGGAAAGTTACCCCCCCATTTTTCTCACTTTCGACTTGTTTCAAGAAGATATTAAGATGTATATTAAATCCTTGTCTACCTCCTGTAACAGGAGGTTTTTTCACTTTCGTATTCCCTAAGCAAGTGTTTAATAAATAATAATTATAATAAATTCCTATTTAAGGGAAATGCAGTTACTCTAATATTTATAAAGGCCTTCCCAGAAGACCACAATTTATGTTCAGTCTCAAACCAGCCTATGACTTTCTTGTTAGGCTATCTTGAAGATTAACATGTTCCTAACATTTGTAATGGACTGTTGTGAGATTCATAGAAAAATTGTATTTGTCGCGATTTTGATCATCTATAAAATGTTGAAATTTAGGGGGAAAAAATATAAAATACTTACACACACAAATTGTTATTATAGATATATCACCCAAAAATTAAAATTTGCTCACCCTCAGGCGATGTACAGTAGATGAGTTTGTAACTGGAAGAATTATGGAGTCATATTTTGCCCAGAAGCGAAGGTTTGAACTTAAAAACATCATGATGGATTTGTTTCTTACAAACATGCAGCTTTTCACTTCACCAGATGTTAATTGATGGACTGGAGTGGTGTGGATTACTGTGATGTTTTTATCAGCTGTTTCGACTCCCGTTCTGATGGCACCCATTCACTGCAGAGGATCCACTGGTGATCAAGTGATATAATGCTCCCA